GTATTAAATCCAAAAACAAACATTTATTATACTGCAGCTTACCAGTGTTTAAATGTAGTGGCTTCATTAGTGTTCTTTTTCAGGCTTTCTTTCCTTTATTTTCCTCTAACGATTCTGCAAGTTTGTTTTTCAACAGAACAAGCTGTCCTGCAGATGTAGCTGTTAGAGGGTTTAGAAAAACCATTTACCACTGACAGGTGCGCTTACAACATAACTCATATTCAGTAGTGTTGCCCAGTGGTTGTTCTTTACTGTTCTTCTGTGTGAATTCTCACATACCAGGTGCTCAGTTCAGAGTGATCAGTCAGAAGACATTCCATTCCATTGGTTGGTAGAACCGCTTAGTAACTAGTAAACGTTTCTGTCTGCCACTGTGGCCTGTGTTGGATCACTGCTTATTTACAATGGTCAAATTGACTATTTTGACGTTTATTACCAAAATAGCATTCCCTGTTTATAAAGCTGCTCTGAGCAATTTATCCCCTATTTTTAGTATGAAAATATTTTCCATTCTAAGTGTAACTGGCTAATATTCATCTAGGGTGGGTTATTTACATGTGCAGGTAAAGGTGGTGCCTGTCCATTTCATTTACCCATGTCCTGTAGTGCTGGGAGAACAGCCTGCCTGTCTTCCAATGGTCAGACGTATGCCTCCCCGCACAGCCATTCAGTGGGAAGATTAGTGTACTGCTGTTTATCCTCCCCCACCTCTCTAAGCCCTTGATGCAACTGAAATGGATTACATAATGTACACAATTAGTTCATCAGTGTTACACGCACTACTTTAGATGTTTTATATCTTTGTTTATAATTTATTTGAAGCCTTTGTAGGTGGTAGGGAGGAGCACAGCAGATTTCTTATTATTTGGATTCATGCGATGTGGGAAAACATGTAGTGTTTTTTCTGCAGCTTTATTGGGTGTGCATTTGTATAGTGCATCTACATTTTCACAATTGTTTTAAATTTTTATCTCGGGAAGCACACAGAAAGGAAAGACAATTGAGTCATCTAAGGCTGCTTTACTTGCCACAACACCAGGTAAAAAAAAAACACCTTTAAAAATGAAGCCACCACTTTAAGGGTTGGTAAACTGCAATAAATTTCATTTTAGTTTTATATATCTATAGATGGAAGGCCCCAAGAACAAATATATAGCAGGACTAGGTTCTAACGGTTTTAAAACCAGTAAAAAGGAATTCCCTTTAAAAGCAACTGAGAAGACTTTCATGGTACCACGACAGTCAATTTTACCTATTAAAAAACAACAACTTTGGAGCCAATAAAACCACATATTAAATACTCCGTGCACATCTTCTTGCCATCACAATTTGTTCATATACAAATATCATCCATTTTGTTTTATAAGTGGTTCCAGCATTAGTTACAATCAAAGAGATGATAGATGAATTTATAACATTCAACACGTTTCACAGGGCACAGCCTGCTTCTTCAGGAAAGACAGATATTTGCCACTTGTCTGAATTAACATCAAGGAGCGCATACAGTAAAACCAAAACAGAGAAGACGCCTTCATGGCTAGGCAAGTCCAGAGGCCAACACACAGGCCAGGAGGGAAGGAAACGCTCAATACCAGAGTGTGCTCTTGGCAGGCAGCGTGTTGTAAAGTCTATTCCCACTCGTGTCCTCCTTTGTGCCTGCTGCATACACAGAACAAAAGTTCCTCCTCCTTGAATCTACGTGCCGCACTGGGAATTTCTATATATTGTCAGAGGATGTGGTACCCATTTAAATGATATGTAAGGACACTACTTTGTTTTCCTATTTATCATTTGTTTTTTTGTCCAGTTTTAAAACCAGGAGCACAATCCCATTCCTTATTGAGAGTAAGTTATTGTTCCTGGCATGGCAACTTTATATGCATTATGAAACAAAAATTATGCAATAAATAATTTATTAAATAATAAAGTCAATGTTTATTATTTTATTATTTATTTGGTGCTGGTTACTGCCTGTATTCAGATACATCTTCCAGGAGTGTGTTCTTTCAGCTCATAGGCATTTTCTGAGTTCAGCATTTTCCAGTTTCTCATTCTGTGTAGGTAAAAGTAGAGAATACATGTGTAGGCTGGACTGGTGTAGCTCTTGTCATATTAAAAATTCTGACATGCTTGTAATGTCTTATCTGCATCCAGAGAGCTTCTATTTGTTATGCAGACAATAAAGACCTTCCTATAATGAGTAGCTGTTTGATCCATAACTGAACTGGACATGACACAACTAGGATTCACCAGGCCACTGGAGCTCATTACCTACAACATCTTATCAAACCGACATAGAAGGGGGTGGGGGTAGGCTGTAGGTGAATATGGCCACTGGAGCTCATTACCTACAACATCTTATCAAACGACAGTGACTACACGCACTGCATAGAGGGGGTGGGGGTAGGCTGTAGGTGAATATGGCTATGATCCTTGTAAATAGGCACAGACTATGCGATATGCAAATATGGTTAACAATCAGATCAGGTATTGTCAATTAGGGTTCCTCCAGAGGTTGCTTAGAGTCAGCTGAGCTGTGGTTGATTGACCCCCACCATCTGATCAATGTCTGTCTAGTTCATTGTCCAACCCCACTTGGAAGAGCCAGATGCACGACAGCAGTGATCTTTATAGCCGTTTGAAAAGGTGACATTCTGACCACCAATGGTAAGCTGACCATACATTGTTTGAATTTCAGCCAGTTCCTGATGAGCTGACCAAAATTCACTCTTTGGGTGTCTTTCTTCCCTGATGTCCGGTGGCAGAACACAATAGTCCAGTGGGGGAGGTTTTTCCATCCACAATGTATAGCGTAGATGGAGAGATCTATTGGATTTGTTTTCCTTTAGCCCTTAGGCCACTTAGGGGGGCATTCTTCTCACTAACCACCAATATAAGAGCCATTTTCCTCACTGATCCTCCAATGAATTGGTCTTAAAAGGGATTTGCAAAGACCTGAGAATTATTTTTGGTTTCCTCTGGGGTGAAAAGGTTGATAAAAACTGCTTTAGATGAACACGGGTAGTCTCTAGTTGGTTTTGGCTTGAATCAGTGTGACTAGGCACAGGCTCTAGATGAACATGTACATGCTGCAGGTGAATAACAGTATGATTTAGTGCCATTCTCTCTGGATGAATAGGGGTGGATTTTCAATTGAACATGGATAGACTTTAGGTGAATAGGGTTTGTCTCTTGGTAAATGGCACTGTTTGAGAGACACAGACAGGTGCACACCCAGAAAACCCTGCTCGCCATTACCCCATTGTGCAATGTTTTTTGTGATTAAAGGTCCAGTCTTTTAAAGACGGTGATCGTGTAAATGGACTTAAATTGTGGGAAGTGGCTACAATATCTTCGACTTGCAAATGTTGTTTTATGCTCAGTGCTGGCAATCAGGCAGTAATAATGCATGCAGGAATCCATAGCAGCCAGACTGCTGTAGACTGTAGTGAAGCCGGTAAAGAGGTGGTTTATGATTGGTCCCTTTTGTGTGTTATTGCTCTTTGTTCAGCTTTACTGAAAAAACTTGATGGCATTTATGTACAGAGCAAACAATGGGCCCAATTCACAAAGCTTTATGGCTAGTTGTTCAAATCTTACTGGCAGAAAATTTCACTTTTTTGAGGCAAAGGATCCTTAACCTGATGTGTTAGCTTGATGAATAGGGCCTCCTAATGTGTTTATGGTAACAATGCAAAATGGTCCCAGGAGCTGACCGGAGTAGAAAAATCAGCAACCAATCAATTTGCAGCAATTAGAAGAAATGACTGCTGATTGATTGCCATAGGTTACTGCACTTTTTTTTTTAGCTAGTTTTTTGTCTGTTGCCACTTGTACTGGAAATTTTTATCCTGTAATATTTTGTCCTGATATTCCTGTTTGTTGTATTGCACATTTAACCAAAGTTTCTTCAATATTGGGTAAGCCTGCATGTGCATTGTAAGAACACCATAGAAATGTATTGATGTATCATGTAGGACAGGTGGCTTCAAATTGTTCAGTTCAAGGACCACATTGTGTATTTTCCAAATACTTGCGGGCCAAAAAAAATGAACTTTTTTAAATTAAACAGAACTCCGGGAATTTTTTTCCCCATGCATTGGGGCTGAGCCCTCATTGCATGGGTTTATCTGCCTAGAGAGAAACAAGCCGTGCATCAGGGAAAAAAAAAAAACAGTTTCCTGCAGATCTTTAACAAATAAAATCTGAATTCATATTATTTGGAGTTTTTTTGTAATCAGCATGATATGATTTAGAACACGAGAGAAACATTTTTAATTAAAACAAAGTAAAGAAATTCCAAATAATCTTGAGCCCATCAGTAAACCCCCCCCTCCATTGGGGTTCTTACCAGAGTCCGACCTCAATCAGGGTCCCCATTCCAAAAAAATTGCAACTGCCCAAACTATACTGGCTGGCCTACGCAGTAGGGAGCACATGGGACGACAACATATGTCCAACAACAACAAAGAAAAATTACCAACTCAACTTCCCAGCCAGCCTGCAAAGAACCGAGTTACCTGTTAACAGTTCACGTTAAAAACGGGGTTTAGTTTTCACACATTTGCAAATACATGCGTAAGCTGCAGAGCCTCTTCACGTCACCCTGGTATTTTCTGCAGCCCTAACTCTCCATTAAAGTCCTCCATTATAACAGGGTTCCTGTTTAAAGTCCCCCTTACATCAGATTCCCCTTAATTTACAGGGCCGAATAAAATCTCTAGAACCGGATTGTAACACGCGGCTTGATTGTCTAATTCTACCTGATGTTTTCTAGGACAGTGGTTGGAATTTTATAAGAATCTTTCTTTAAAGGGGGTTAGCGACTGTTACAGATTGTCACTATGGGATTGTTGAAAGCTGTGTGGAATTGTATGAAAAGAAATTACAATGAGAACATTAAATGTAATTTGAATAAGTGATTGTACATCTGCATGGCTGTGTGTGAAGAGACAGATTGTCAGTCAAGTATAAATTACATTGTATCTCTCATGTTTTAGAATAATGAAGTCCTCGCTGCATCTGGAAGAAGATGACTTTGTACCAGAGCTGCCACGTAGTATCCACCCCCAGAGAGAGACCGGATTGGGAGGAAACAATCAGCGCCATGGTGAGTCCTCTTCCTGCATGGAACACTGAAAGTAGATGATGTTTGTACCATGCAGACATACACCTATAACCTAGAGGTACTGTGTGTATGAAGGCACTATCATATTTTGCTCCAGTTCCAGTATTTTTCTTTTTTTAAATGAGAAATGGTAACTGACTTCTGACTGATTGCTCTAGTCCAGTGGGGATCAAGTGTGGTGATCACCAGGGGCTCCGGCCGGCCAGCCCCTGCCAGCCTGCTGACATGTTTAAATGCACATTTGAAGCCTGAACATTAGTTGAACCCTCCAAACAATCAATATTTTCTGGAAGCAAAGACCCTGGAGAATAAAATTGTAGTAGTTGCAATTTTTATGTCATATTTTGTAGTTACATAGTTTGTAAAGTTGAAAAAAGACACAGGTCACATGATATTAGTGTGCATGTTTATGAACTCATCTGCAGTACTTTTGGTGGCCTTTACAATCCACATGGAACCCCACATGGAACACTTCCACATGGAACCCCATCGCCTGCCTGCTCTACAAAGCTATTCCCGCCCCCAGCTGGCAGAGTGTTTTTAAAATCCTTTTTTAAATGGCACTGGTTACAAGTGGTTAAAGACCCTGCAACTTTGGAAAAATACCTGCTCATTGGCCAGAAGTGGGCTGGAAATACACAACATTTTTTTGTGGACTGAATGGTGTCAACCCTGCCCAGTTGTCTTTTGCTAAACTACTCAAACTCTCCCATTCCATGTTCATAGTATGGATGCTAATCATTCTGTAGTCTGATTACTTTCCTTGAAATGAAGTGTGCCTAGGGCAGTTTAGAGTTTCTGGCAGGTTCAGCAAGTATTATTTGTGCTTATTGAACTAATAAAATAAAACACAATGGGGTTTATTTACTAAAGCTGGTTCACTCAGCATCTGGTTCACCTGTACATGGTAGCCAATCAGCTTCTAACCTCAGCTTGTTCAATTAAGCTTTAGCAATAAAACCTGGAAGCTGATTGCTTTCCATGCAGAAGTTCACAAGATTCCGAGTGAAGCAGGTTAATAAACCCCAATTAATTTCATACTTTAAAGATCAAAAAGGAGCAATGTTGGGATTTTATATAGTATACTTCATTTTCAAATTGAGCTACTTTCCTACAAGCACTGTACTCTCCACTAGGTGGCGCTCTGTTTGAATTGTACCAGTTGTGTGGGTCAGCGGTGCTTCTTCTATAGCGGTAGTCCGCTGTTCATTATAAAGAGAGCTCAGGTCTAGGAGATGTCTCATGATGCAGTTACATGTGTTGCTGTGGGACTTCTTTTTATAGCATATTTTTCTCCTGGTAGTTGATTGTTGATCCGAGCCCATCTTTAGTGACATTCCAGTGATATCTCTTCATTTTGGAGTCTGCTGTCTGGGTTCTGGAATGAATTCCATGTGGGATATTAATGTAAAATGATGGCTGTAAGGAAATAGTTCAGATGACTGCAGCTTGCTGAGGAAATGACAATTTACTTTGCCAGTGAAGGGGCATTGAGCGATCTCCGTCCATCCAGAGTGAACTTTGTCCATTCTGTGTCAGACAGGACCTGGGCTGGCCAGGGTTTGATGATGTGCTAATTATTGCGTCTATATTTCTGGCAATGAATCTGCCTGTGATTTAGTCATTCTTGCACATTCACACACATTTTTACCTCTCAGCTGCCTTCAATAGGATCCAATGCATCTTTGCTCCACTTCTGCCACTATTTTAGGTCTGATAGCAATACAAAGTTTTGTAGAAATAATAACTGCCCTTTGTAGTGACCAAAAGTCTTTCTATTGCCCTTATGTTTGTCAGAATGCATTCTGTAAATATGTGCTGAACATTTTCATAAGGAACATTTTCGTGAAGGTTCTTTAGCCCCCATTCATACCTGAGTGTTTTTAAGTTCTTCAAGGCTCGACACTTGGATTTCTGTCATTGTATTGTACTCATTCACGTCTGTCGCTCAATGTTCAGAAAATAGAGGAGCTTCTTTGGAGCATGGTCCTGCTTTTTTGGCCCCAAAGGGATTGATGGGAGTGCATAAAAATGAGCATAATTAGTTTTTTCACAATTTGACATCCAGCAACTGTCTCTTCCTAGTAATTAGCTTTCCTTTGGCTTCCTTTGCTTTCATGCCTGAAAACGCATGTACACATGCATAATGAAACGTGCACAAAATGACCAAAGATGCAGATGTTCAAGTGTGAATGTAGTTACAGTTTTCTGAATTAAGTTACATTCAATAAAATGAAAAAAGAAGACTGAAAAAGAAGGCCAGAACCACCGCAGGCTAAACTGCAAAGCAACAAAACTAGGCTTGCACAACAAAAATACATCAAGCAGTGCGGTCACTATTTGTACAAGTATCTGACATTTGGTTAAACAAC